CATAGCGCATCCGAGGTACCTACTCGTGAAGGAATTCCATAGAATTGTCCGCGATGTCGGTCTTATAAGAATCTAACTCGATTAGCAGAGTATCAGAAGTCTTTCATAAACGAAATATCGGAGATAGAACGGATTTAGAAAAAAGGCACAAATTGAAATGAAGGCGGAATAATGGAATGAATCATCATCAAATTTCTTAGGAAGAGATGAAGTAGCTCTAAAAATCACAAAAGCTAATAACATGCGTTTAAAAATTACTTTTTAAAGACACTTCTAAAGAATCCAGTGTCTCCGATGTTACACTTGTACAAGGAATTTCTAATTTTGTTATCAAATATCAAAAAAAAAATAATTTTTAAATTTTATATTTAAATTTAATTTTTTTATTTCAAATTATTTATTCTGTCAATTGATTCATGCATTGTCTCCGACTTTACGCAAGTGTGCAAAATTTCAGATTGATTGGGCAGGTAGAAGTGTGTCAAATATTGATTATTTGACACACTTCTACCGAACCGAGACAGACAAACTAGAAGCGAAGTTAAAGAGAAGTGAAGTAAAAAGGAAACGAATACTATGTCATGCATCTCTATCAGCAAAGCGCAATTCTGCGCCAAAAATTTCTTGTCAATAAACTTCGAGAAAATTTTGGTGGTGAAAACGCGTAGATATTAGTTAATACGTTTTCTCATATCATCACATACCACAGAGCACGACGTCATCAGCTGCGTTCACTTCATAACGCCGTGCATGTGAGAGCACCTCCTTCGGGCGCAGGTCGGACAAATGGAGGATTTTGAATTTCAATGGACGTCCATCTTTATCATACCCGTATTTTCGCTTGTACCAGCCTGAACATCGCCAGCGTACTCCCCGTTTCAGGCAAAACTTTAATACCCGCGACACATTTCGGCGAAATTGCCTCATATCAACTATGTAGTTCAGGTACTCTCTCAACTCTTTCGATGTGAATTCCTCAAGGAGGGTCTCACTAGTGAACTCGACTATATCAGCATATGACGGTTTTTATCTTCGGGCTGCACTTCATTCATTTTCATAATAGCAGATATCGTAAAGCCTGTTCACCCGCTACAATGAAGGCCTGGACAAGCCTTGTGTGCGTGTGCAGCAGCAGCAGCGACTGAAGAAGTAGCAGCAGCGACTGAAGGAGTAGCAGCAGCGACTGAAGTATTAGCAGCAGAGACGAAAGGAGTAGCAGCAGCAGCGACTGAAGTAGTAGCAGCAGCGACTGAAGTAGTAGCAGTAGCTACTAAAGGAGTAGCAGCAACGACTGAAGGAGTAGCAGCAGCGATTAAAGGAGTAGCAGCAGCGACTGAGTTAGTAGCAGCAACGACTGAAGTAGTAGCAGCAGCGACTGAAGGAGTAGCAGCAGCGACTGAAGGAGTAGCAGCATCGACTGAAAGAGTAGCAGCAGCGACTGAAGGAGTGTCAGCATCGACTGAAGAAGTAGCAGCAGCGACTGAAGTAGTATCAGGAGCGAGTGAAGGAGTAGCAGCAGCAGCGACTGAAGAAGTAGCAGCATCGACTGAAAGAGTAGCAGCAACGACTGAAGGAGTGTCAGCAACGACTGAAGAAGTAGCAGCACTGACTGGAGGTGTAGCAGCACCGACTGAAGGAGTATCAGGAGCGAGTGAAGGAGTATCGGGAGCGACTGAAGGAGTAGCAGCAGCGACTGAATGTGTAGCAGCAGAAACTATACTCGTAACAGTCCTACCTACACGTATTAATTGAGATGCACAAAGCCAATACCATGTAATGAGACAGTTGCCATAGATATGATGAGCGTGAAGTATTGATTTATCTAAGGACATTACGGTTATAAACGGAGACCGCTTGCTATAGTTTTATACTAAACACACATATTTCAAACTATATACATATATTTAATACAGATCCCTCTTGGCGAACAAAGTCTCGCAATAGACCTGATTATTTTTATTACTCTCACTGCCTCTCTGTTACCCGAAGATTTGTGAGCAGTGGTTAAGGTGTGTTTGAGTCCACGCGACTCTAACTTTTCCGCAAAAATGTATACCTAAGCTCAGGTCCATTACCGCGAAGCTGCAGGGATGGTAATGCTTTTAGACTCAGGGAACCTAGTGTCGTGCGCCCGAACATGGTGTTTGGAAACGCGATGTGGTCACCGAAACTTGAAAAGAATAAAAATTTTGTTGAGACTGTTCGAATACGTGCAACAAAGATGATTAAGGGCTTCAAGGGCAAGTCTTACAATGAAAGATTAAAGATTATTATGAAGCTTCCAAGCCTCAGTTATCGACGTCTGCGTGGGGACCTCATTGAAGTATACAAGTCTACTCATGGTTTAAACAAGATCCCCGAAAGAATAATAGAATTTGAAACAAGAACCAACACCAGGGGCCATGGCTATAAACAAAAAAAACTGTGCTGCACCTTATCCACGCGACAACATTGCTTCTCGCTTCGAGTCACCGACATGTGGAACAGCCTCCCCGATTACATCGTTGGCGCTAGCATGAACGCGTTCAAGAACAGACTAGATAAAGCTATGGAGAAATATATGTTCAGACTTGAAATACCTAGCACCATAACAAACCCGGTGGAAGTCTAGTAGCTTTTCAAACTATCTTCAGTTTTGAAAAGGTCCGGTCAAAGGCTCTGTTTAGCGCATTTTCTCATTTATGGAAAAAAGGCGCTATAGTGCTCGTTATGTCCGTCCGTCCGTCTGTCCGTGACTTCATGGACGGACGAGAAAATGCGCTCTCTATCACTCACTGCAGGCAGTGAGCACTGATCTAATTTTTTTAGATCTCCTGTGGACAAGTCACGAAAAATACAAGAATCGGCGACAGCCCAAATCGGGTCTATTCTTCAGCACCGACATCACTATGATATGATATGATATGATATGATATGATATGATATGATGTGATATGATATGATATGATATGATATAATGATATATGATGAATAATCAAAAGGTTTAAATGGTACATTTGGCACATTCTTGATCATATTGAACCACAATAAAGTATTTTCATATGCAGTAGGGTCGACCGTCTCGTTGGTTCGATATAGCCCGGTAACAGTGAAAATAGTTACTTCAAGTTTCGGCCAAAGCTGCCGGTTCAACTAAGGAACTTGTGGCAAAATCAGCATGACCAAGCACAGTATGCTTTTAAACTCGGCTCATTCGTAACTCTTGCTAAACCAGCAGCTGCCAGAGTACACATCGTTAGCCAACGAGAAATTGAAATTCGATGAGGAAAACTTTCACATGAAGTAACAATGTGAGAAAATTAGCAAAAAATAAATCTGTTTACTAAAAAATCAAATTATTAAAAGCCATAAGATCCTATTTCGATATAAAAATTGTTGGAGACAAGCGGTGCACAGCAGTCATAAAATTAGATGAATGATCATATTCTACCGAACACTGGGTCTAATTTATTTGCTCATTCGGTCCACATTTATGTTTACAGTCCGTCTTAGCTGTTCACCAGCATATTCGTCAGCAGGAGCACGACCAATACGGTCAAGCAAACGTTGATTAACAAACCGCTGTTCGTTTGTTAGATTGCGTCTCCCAGCAGCTCAGTCAAAAGACGCCTGGCTTAATAAATCTGGTCGAAAGTAGGAGATTAAGTTCAAATTTTGCTTAATAAATACATGAATGAAATTATTTAATAAATTTAGGCCAAAGATTGAATGATTTAAAAATTTGATGTCGTATAGCAAAAAATGTGCAAATGTACGGTTAATTTGAAGTTCATGTAACCACACATAACCTGACTATAAATATAGTATACCATTGAACCTATATAATATTTATTAAAATTAATAAATTCTATGTATCATTAAGCATCACCTATATTTTCATCAGCATACTTATGAGCTAAATTAATTTGATTCTACACTGCCATAAAGTATTTAAAAAATATAACTCAGTACTCACTGCAGTGAGTGACAGAGAGCGCATTTTCTCGTCGACGAAAACTTGAGGTCACGGACAGACGGACAGACAGACAGACGAACGGACGGACATGGCGAACACAATAGTGCATTTTTTCCATAAATGAGAAAATGCGCTAAAAATCGCAGTGATTAAAGAGATATTCAGTATGCAAAACTATGTAGGTGTAGTACATAGTTTTTAAAAGTATGCACCTGTGTAGCTGACACTCCAATACCGTGAGCAAGAATATGTCTAGACATCACTTGCTGGCGCAACCGTGAAGCTGAACTGACTCACAACAGTAAAATTTGAGCTCCATTTGATTTAAGATCTTTTAATATAAAATGGAAAATAATTGAGAATAAAAATAAATTCAGTTACTGAAACTGAACGGTTCCTAGGAACAATACTTGGTATCCTTATTAGAACATTTGTCCCTATAAGGATGTGTTATTAACCTAAATAATATTTTATTTCCGTCAGTGAACGTCAGCACCGAACACGCCCGAGCGTCAGAAAATTGTATTGATAACCAAAATGTTCACTGCGCGTGGGCGTCCTAGCCATCTAGGAATAACCAATTATATTTGTGCTAGGAGTAATCCTTCACGAAGTTTACTTATTAAAGTGACCAGGCCAGCCATTAAGCCAGCGTTTAGTATTACAGATATTGTTTTTAAGGCCAGCCAGTGTGAGCTCATGGTAAACTTACAAAGCGATGTTCTTTCCTAAGAGAAATACCGAGAGTTTATACAAGCTAATTATCATAAATGCGTTTCAAATCACAAGGAACGAAAAATATGGTTTAATCAGAGTTTGGCTTGAAACAAGAAATACGATTATTTCGAGCAGAACTTCAAGTTGTTATTGATTTGAAGATTGTAATATTATGGAAATGGAACGAGAATCAGCTATCAACAATGTACCAAATATCTAAGCAAATTCGAATATAAGTGCAGCCCGCCATTATGCGAGAAAGAAAATGAATGTTAAGTGCAGGTGCAAAACCAAAGCTTATCGGTGAGCCGCGAGACACGTTGCACAAAGAAGCACTTGTAAAGTCTAGGATGAAGTGCGATGATCTCGTCGATATCAGATTGCAGCGACCGCTTCATCTGGTCGTGCAGACACCAGCTGGCGGGTCGGCGCTGTCTGAGGTATAAAAGCCCTCACCTCGCACTGCAGGTCACCACTTCTCAGGTGCAGGAGGAGCGGCCAACACTTGGACACTCGTGGGGAACATCGTCAGCCAGGATGAGGGTCGTCTTACTCTTGTTAGCTGTTCTCAGTGAGTCACTATTAGTGAAGCATGAGGTTTGATATTCTATCATAATTCAGAACTGACTTCCTGAGATATTTGTTGCCTTGTTTGAAGCGCAAATTTGATTTCGAAAAATGAAAAGCATTCATTTCGTACAAGCTCATAAATAACATTTAAATGTAAATGACACAATAAGTCAACTCTCAGAATATGTGGATGAGAGCAAAAAAGTTTTGTAGCCACATTGGCAACGACAACTAGATTTGTATAGACGGAGGAAAATTACAGAAGTCTTAGAATTTTATTAATCTTAAACAAGTTAGAGCGTAATTTTATTCTTAGGTTAAAAGTGTTGTAGCTACACAAATAATAATTCTAAATTATATGAAGATTACTCGTAAACGTGATGGGGTCACTCATCATGCACGCGTGTCACCAATCTTTAAGAATTGAAACTGGACGGGACATGAAGCTCCAGTTGCGAAGGTTTAGAATTGTATCCAACTGTCCTAAGCGATAATTAATTGTTTGTCCAGCCAGAAGCACTTATTTTCGACCAAAGATAGCAGAACGTATGACAGGTATTGTGAACTCCTGCTTTTTTGTTAAAATGTACTTTCTCAACGTCAACCGAAGAGCTTTAAAAAACTCGTATTTATCTTTAATTTTCAATCCGTTGAGCTTTAGCCTAATTTGTGACCCAAAGGCTACACAACCTAGGGGAGAAATCTAGGAATTACAATTTCATGTTTTTAAACCATTCATTGCTTAATTTGTTCTTTTTTTTATTTTTATTATCTTAAACAGATGCAATTAATTAAAGAGGTGCAGTTACAGGTCTTCGGAGAATAGTGGAGTAATTCTGGATTTTCAATCGAATGGTATAGAAAAATCGATAATTGTTTGTAAAGACGAGGTCAGATGTCTTTATTGCTGTGCGAAGACATTTGTGATTTTAAACTATATGGCATTTAGCTAATCAGTAAATATCTGTACAGGCGTGGCCACGGGCCTCCAGGGTCCCGTGGAGTATGAATATAAATACGAGGCTCGTGTCGGGTCCGGACTGCTGGCTGCTCGTCCGCAGTTCGCTGCCACCGGCATCCGCGCTACGGTCAAACTCACCATCCGCGATGACCAGAACACCGCTGACATCGAGGTACGATCACAGTGTGGGAATTAAATATGAAATAGTGCGCTTCAAATGGACAATTCTTCGGCAATTTGCCTATCACAAAACACTGTGTAGTGAGCAACGGAGCGGTATAACGTAATTGAATTATGTACCGCAATAAGCTAGGCATTTTACAATTAAATGAAGATTAATTTCGTAGTTTGACGCCAACCAAATAAGATAGAATTGTCCATTATTTATTGCTCTAGAGAACTATGGACACATATTTTTTAAACACTACCTGTGCATTAACGATGGGTAATTGTAAAACGCTTAACCCTTTCAGGTTTATTAATGTTCTCACTGACTCACAAATATAGCACTCACTCGCAATAATTAAATGTTAAAGTGAATCAGCGATGACCTAAAACCAGATTTCGGAATTATCGCTTAACATGACCACAGTTATTCAAGATTATCTATTCAATATTATGCAACAACGACATTTTCGCTACGTTCACGGTAGCCTGTGCTTTAATTACTGTATATGAGCGGTCACATATATCTTGTAACTTCAGCCTAAAATAGAACCTAATGCAAATATATAGCTTTTGGAGGCTTGCGCAATGGGTGAAATAGTGGTCTCGTTAAATACCATTAACTGCCAGATAAGGGTCCGCTAAAATTGATGCCAATGGTGTTGCTGCAGGTGCGAGATGTGAAAGTGGGCGAGAAGTCCCAGGCGCTGGATGAAGACGGTCGCCAGCCTGTGGAAATCGAATACAAAGACATCTTGGACAAGGCGCTTGAGCTGCCCTTCACTGCTCACCTCAACAAGAAGGATGGGGTAACTCATATATTTATTCTATGAGCTTGATGTACAGAGTTCAAGAAATTTTGGCCTTTTAATCCTAATTCTAACATTTTTCTTTCAGTCTACCATGGCGATGAGCGTTAATTGTACTGTATATGCTAAATACCATTTTTCGTCGATAATACGTACAAATGTTGATAAACTCAAAAAGGTTGTAAGTACTCACGAAAAACTAGAACTTTTGGCTGAGTGAAATGATTCAGTTCTATAAAGATTCTGAGCATCAACATTGTCACGAGGATTCTAATATAGTCGCATTAATAAAATTTACGAAACTAAATAGGGTCGAATGTCTATTACTTGCAAGATAATTTTGAAAGTTAGCAATTGCCATCAATATGATTTAATAACCAGACTCCACCATTAAAAATGTATTTATTTGAAACATTCGTCTTATAATCGATTTAGGAAAATATTTTGGAATCGTCAGAACTTAACTTTTGGTATTGGTCGGGTTGGTAGGATGTCGTGCTGGAGGTTCCTGCTAACGACATCTTGTGGGTAACCAACATCAGACGCGGCATCGCTAACTTCTTCAGGATTGCTCCCATCATCGACCCGTCCTCCATCAGGCCTCCCCCACAGTAAGCAAATGATTCAATGCTGCATGTTTCATTGAGCTCCGAAAAATTTCTGAAGTCTATAGTGAAATAAAAAAAAAAAAAAGAATGCGCACTGTAAATTGGAATCCATGGCTATTTTTATTTTTAACGCAATAGAACTTAATTATTTTACTCTGTATTACGATACTCGGGTTAATACCATTCCGTTATAAGTACCGCTTAATCTTTAAAATCACCGCTATATTATAAAGGAAAAGTTCAGCAATGAAGTTAACCTGCACTTTCGTTATCAGGGGCGAGGACGAAGTGGAGCCACAGGGCTTCTCGCGTATGGAAGACACCTACAATGGTCGCTGCCAAGTCGGGTCAGTTCAATACATTAAAATAAATTAGAAAGTAGGTTATTTACGAATGGATTGACCGAACATTGCCATAATTGTTGGTTCATTAATATTAAGTGACATGTACAGTAGATATGAATTTGAATAATTGCGACCTAGGTTCAAATGAGATTATTCCAAAAGTACTCGTGAAGCATACTGTTGCCTTTGTCTTCCTAAACGGGAATTTTTTCTCGGTTATTTGATTCGCAATAGGGTAGCTAATCTCTTTCAAAATACTAAAATACTTGAATTTTAATGAAGTTATCTGTATTGCCAGGTATACCTTGACGAAGGCCGCACCTCAAGATATCCCCTCCCCCCCTTCGGAAGACATCCAATCCATGAGGTCTCGTAAAGGTCCTGGTGGGCGACAGATCCAACTCGAGGACGAGTTCTACCGCGTGCAGAAGTCGCTGGATTACACCACTTGCAAGGAGAGGGTTTCTCTCCTGCAGGCTGGGTCTTCAAACCTCACCAACATCACTGACTCGCAGTTCAGAGACGTCATGGCCAGGTCAGCAATTCAAATCGGCTAGTATTTCAATCTTGAAAGTAAACAACGCCTATGGGAAATATTGTACTCTGAGCTTCCAGCACGTCCTATAATTAATGTTAATTACTTAAGAGGCTTTAAATTACTTTTCCATGATAAATGTTGGCGATGCACCGCTATGGAGACGATTTGTCATGAGTAATGAGTTAAAGTTTGCTACAAAATGCACTGGTAGAATATACGTTACAGGCAATATATGGAACAGTGATTCGAGTAAGTTAATATTACAAAAAAAAACTTTGGTTTAATTTAGACAATGGGGCATGAATAAATAATTTATGTTACGTAAATTTGACAAGAGTCTAGACACACCAGTAATTTGTTTCTATAAAAAATTTAGGTCATTAAATTATTTAGAATGGTTTCTGCTTTGACTAATCCATGTTGGCTTACATATCCTTAGCCATCCGACCACCTTACCGATTGATTTCGACCAGAACTTTCACATCTAGTTACCGGTTTTGAACCCCCAACTCGTAGCTCCAATCTTGGTGATATTTACCATGCATTCAGCCATCCTGAGATTTTTGAAGGTATAATGAAACGATTCCATTTCGCCAACAGATATATCTGATTCAAAACTTAGAATGATATGAAAAAGTCATTAAGATTCTTGAACACCTATAAAAAGCGCCACTATGCGGTGGGTGACACACCGTTCCAAATTTCTGCTGACTGGATATTGCAAATTTTTTTCGTGATGTGCAAACAATTTCTATTGGATTTCAGGAGCCTCGTGGGCCAGTACGTGCTCAAGGGTGCGCCCGGCAAGTTCAGGATTGAATCTGGCGTCGTCGAGTCTCAGATTATCCTCGAACCTTTCGGTGTCAACTCCGACAAAATGGTCACCTTCTCCAACCAGGTAATGATCCCCTCCTCGAATTAGGTAATGGTCACTCTTTCTCCAACAAGGTAATGATCCCCTCCTCGAATTAGGTAATGGTCACCTTATCAAACTAGGTAGTGATCCCCTCCTCAAATTAGGTAATGATTACCTTCTCAAGGTAGGTAATGGTTACCTTCTCCAACCAGGTAATTATCCCCTAGTCAAACTAGGTAATGGTCAGTGGTCACCTACTTCAACTATGGGTTATGGTCACCTCCTTAAACTAGGAAATGGAGTTCCAACAACAGGAATTTTTTATGTTCAATAAAATGTATAGAATGGAAATTCAGAATCAACGCACGAAATGTGCATTTTCAGTTGATTGCATGGTAATATTTTATCATATCCTCATTCAAATGGTAAACGCAATAGTCAGTTTAATTTCGTTCGATTATCAATCGATGACCTACGTCATCATCAAACAATCAGTGGACCTCGACAACGATTGTATAAGAGATTTGCGTAAGTTACTAAATTGCGCACGTTTGGGTGATCATAACTTGACTGGTAAATATTCAACAGACGATGCAGCTGATGTCGGCCCGCCCAGTTTCTGGAGGCGTCAAGAAGAGCGGAGACAACACCAAGGAGGTGAAGACCTGGGCACAGCAGGTGCAGAGCCCCAACAACAAGCCTACAGGATACACCCCTAAATGGATCCAATACAAGAAGGACGTGAGTAAACTCAGTAAAGAGATACTGGACATAGTAATATAAATACGTAAATGACATTTCTATGTATCGTTGATAGGAGGCAATCGACAGGCCGACACTCTGGATCTACAGTATATGGGAACATTTCATACGGCTTGTATTTTTTTGCACTTTTGAATCGTTTTAACTTGATGTCCGGTATATCTTCTCTCAAAATAATTAGGTTTGAACTGAAATTTATCGCATAATGGAATATAAATTTATTCACGAATTTTTCACATCTTATGAGCAGCAAGAAGTGCAGTCCGAAAGCCCCATCTTCTACGAGCGTCTGGTCAGCGGCTTCGACATGACCCGCGAGTTTAAGGATAACTTGCAGGTGCGGCAAGGTTGATCTTTTGTTGGCACTCACTAGATGACTTTCATATCCACAACTCCTATGTTCTTTACTCTTGTGAAATGATTAAATATTTTTGCAGCTAAGCCACCATAGAATTAAGCCATTAATATTTCATTTCTGCTCTAGGGCACGCGCCGTATTTGAAAAAAATATTCACCTGTATTCTCGTCTGGCATCTAACCCAGAAGTACCAACAGTCGACATTTTGTTTTCATATTCTCTTATTGACCAGTTCTTTTCTCTGTGCAGCAACGTGTAATACAAGCCGTGCAGCGCGCCGCAAAGCAGCTGCAGGTGCAGAACATGGACAGCAAAAAGGAGCCCAAGGATTACATTGGATCTGAGGACGGTCGCGCCGCCCAGAGTCTGCATGAGGCGCACAAACTCATCCGTGCCTTGCCCAAGGATGACCTCCAGAAGATCGACCAACAGCTTCAACAGCAGGCGCAACAGTAAGAAGTTCTGCAAACAAGAAGACTTAATCAAGCTCGAAAGTTTGATTTTTTAATGAATTTTTCACAAATCACTTTCATATTCATTCTAACTTAAACAAAATATAAGTTTAGACGTTACAATGTGGAAACTTTGACGAGATTTTTTTTAACGTCTTTTCTATTTGAAGGCTAATTTAAGATTGGAAGTTCATCGACAATTTGAAACAGGCCTTGGATCGTTAAACACTTTAAATATCATCATGAAAATATTTGCAACGCTTCGCAGGTGCCAGTTGTGCCACGACTTGTTCATTGAAGCGCTTGCAGTCGCTGGCTCCGGCGCCTCTCTCGACATGATCGTCGAAAAGATCCAAAAGAACGAAATCTCGGACAACAGGACCGCCTCAATCTTCTTCAGCATCGCCAACAACGTGCAGTCCCCTGAAGCCATCGACAAGCTTTTGGTGAGTGGAGGATGCTATCCATAGAAGATTCGATCATCTTAGTTATTTTTCCACTATAAAACATCTTTCTGTACATGAAAATTTGAATAATGATCACTTCTAAAATGTGTTCTACCATTGAAAAAATTTGCCAGCTAGAATTTATTGTTCCCGATGATTTTTTCTTTTGCTTTTAAGATTTCATGAAATCATCTGATTGGAAAATGCGATCAAAAATTACTCCGATATTCATACCAAAGTACCTACACTAAAATAATGTTATATCAATTAGTATTTGTATCCAGTAATACTCTTTCTTCCTCTTTAAGCCCCTAAAAACCACGCATTATGATTGGGCAGGATTTCGCAATGAGCATACGCGAGGAGACCAAGACTCTTGTGAGCGTTATTGTCAAGCCAAACTTGGCCATCTTGATCCGCCGGCTGTGCGTCAGCGAAGAGGAGATGCCATACTCGCACATGCGCAAGATGTTCGGCGATAAGCAGTGCGACAAAGACACCGTGGTTCATAAGTACCTGCCCCATCTTGAGGACAGAATCAAGGTATGTTATTGTCTCACTAAATCATTGATATTCATAAAACAAATTAAAGACCGTATCAGACGCTCTTTCGAGTTCCTAGATTTAGAAACGATGAAGCAGTTGTTTGTTGCTGTCGTGCGCCCGAACCTGGAGTTTGGAAACGTCGTGTGGTCACCGAAATTTGAAAAGGGCAAAAATTTAGTAGAGAGTGTTCAAAGACGCGCAACAAGGATAGTTCCGGGCTTGAAAGGCAAGTCCTATGAGGAAAGATTAAAGATTATGAAGCTTCCAAGCCTCCATTATCGACGTCTGCGTGGGGACCTCATTGAAGTATACAAATATACTCATAATATGTTCAGTCTTAAAATGCCTAGCAAATTACGGACCAGGCAATAAGTCCAGCAGCTAACTCAATCAATCGTCAGTTATGGAAAGATCGGGTTCCAAAGGCCGGATCCCTTGTGAATCAAGTCACGAAAATTTCAAGAAGCGGCAACAGGTCATGGGCCTATTTCTTCAGTGCCGACACTTCTATTCTATTCTAAGAATTATTTGATGTATCTATAACAAATTCGACCTTAATATTCTCGTATTTTAACTGGAAACTTTTATTCAACAGACCGCTTCACAGAGTTGGGTGAGGATTCTGAACGTATTGGCTGCTGCAGATCTGGGAGCTCCTGAGAGTTTGCAAATTCTCGAGAAGGTTGCTAAGGGCGAGATCACGGATAACATCTACGTGCGATACGCGGCCATCCACGGCATGTCCATCAACACGTTCGATAACTGCACTCGAGACAAGGTCCGATGAATAAAAACATTCGATAGTTAATAGATTGCGTGAGCATTCGTTAAATAATTTGTTTACACGATTGAGTCATACAAGAAGCATTTTGGCCCAAAGATCAAGAAAGAGCTGAACTTATCGTTGAAATATTAATTCATCATTAAAGTTACCTAATTAACAAATGGGGCCAGTGGTGTCATCTGGGACAAAATATCACCAAGTTCTACATTTCTGTATAAAATTGATGCTTATAACTTATTCAATTAATTTCTTCAATTTCAAAAAAATCACTTGTTGCTTCCTTAGAGCAAGTTGAAGTTAAATAATCCACGAGAATTTTTCATAATTCTGAGACTGTTGGACAGTTACTAACATAATTGATTCCTCCAGATCTTCAACATCTTGCAACCAATGGCTGAGTCGCAAGCTGAAGACTTCAGGATTCGTCAGGTCGCGTTCGACACACTCTTGGCCTGGAGGCCGAATGTTACATTCATCCAGCGCATGGCTTCCTCGGCGAGAAGAGAGGCGTCCGTTCAGGTCCAGAGTTACATCTACAACGCCATCGACAGTCTTGCTGTCATCGATGACCCTGACTTCAAAGATCTGTAAGTGAAGTCCATGCGCCTTTACATGTTTTATAGCCGAACACAAATATAGTTTGCCGGCCCTTGGCTGGTGAGGATAACTTTTTTGGTAGTTTATTGCAACGATGTAGAATAATGTTTCTCGGTGTGTTGAGTTTTCCACGTCGAGGTCGTAAAAATTCTCAGAAAATTTACTTTTCCATGGAATTAATTATTTCTCATCGGCTGTAATCACGGCAGCGAAAATTAACAGAAAAAGTTCGGTTCTGCACAAATTGCTCACGAGTCACGAGTCGACTACTATTGTCACCTATTACGCAATAATTATTGCAATTTATTTAAATTTTTTAAATTTTTGCTAAAATAAACCACTAAGGTCATTTCGCGACTTGAAAAAAATATGAATTATAAAAATTGATTATCATACATATACTGTATGCACTTATTCCTGGCTCCTAAAAAGCTAAATTTCACAATAAAAATTGCTATAATTGTTTCTGTTTTAGATATTAACTAAAAAGAATAATTTTTACTTCCAGGAGCAGTGCCGCCCGCAACATGCGACAACTGACTCGCCAAATGTCGCCCTCATCTCACCGCGCCTTCACTTACAAAGACTCCCGCTACCTGCCCATGGAACAGGTGGGTCGAGCCCTCAGTACTCAGAGAAATAAATGGGTCATATAGTACAAATAGTGACACACTTTAGGCACTTAGCACCGATACAGATACGATAGCTTCTCTTATAAAGACCTATTCCGTGTTGACCAGGTTGGAGCTGAAGGCGAGGTTGCATGGCTAAGCGGCCTCCGCGCCTACTTCCCACGCGAGATCTACACCTACGTGGTCGCTCAGCTTGGCAAATTCAGAGTCCCGCTTTTCGAGGTGAGGTTGTTTACACCGTGAAAATAAAGAGGTGCAGACGTACAAATAAAGAGGTACACCGTCCAAATAACTGTCTAGCCTCGAATTAAATACTCTTCACACTTTGACACTGAATGATTAAGGATGTTTATACTCAAACGGTTGTATTCTTCCAAGTGGACATTTGCTTCTGATATACTTACGTAGGTCATTGTTTGTAAATATATGCAATGAGCAACAACGAAAATTTATATTTTTAAACTTGGTGCAATTGTGTTTAAACAATAATCAGTGTCAAAAATATCGCACAATTATTATAAAGTAAACTTTGTTCAATTCAATATTTAATACAGTTCGCTAATATATGATTTCAGCTTAAGAACTAAAAATAGTGATTGGCACACAGTTTCGACGAGACTTTGACTTCTCTGAATAGTTAGTGTGACCGGCGTTCCAGTGGCCGGCCGTCCCGTGAAAATAAACCATTTCGCAGTATTTTCAAACGTTTTTCGTGTTCCTTGGGTTAAATTGAAGAAAACGGCGACATGATGTTTTTTCCAGTGCCGGCAAGCCACTGAAATGCCAGTTAGACTGACTGAAGACTGAATGCCGATAAGACTGTTTAACTGAAGACTGCATGCCGGTAAGACTGAAATACATAATATCTGCATATGTTACGTAATGTCTCGTTCGCAGAGCATGACCTTCGGCAACGTACAGTCGGCTTACTCCTACTCACGCGACATCCTTGCTTCCATGCGACGCATCCCTGCCGTGGCCTCCGCCGAGCGACAAGAGAGGCGCAGCAAGATCCATCAGCAGATCAAGCAATCTGATGTGAGTGCAAATTGTTTTATTAACATTTTATTTGTCAAAATTTTCAATGAACTTTGTTGGAAGCACTGAAGTCTAACCACAGACACTGAATAGTGGAGAAAACGAGTGTTATTGATGCCATATATTACAAAATAGAAGTTGTATAGGAAAGTATTTTGATGAAATAGAATGCATTATGAGGCGTGTTTCTATATAATCCATGCAGGACAACGATAGCGTCGACATCTACCACTACTCCAGAATCTTCAAGACTTCAGAGCTCTTCTTGCCACTGTCCGACGAGCTGTTCAGCAAGCTCAAAGAAACTGGTGGGTATTAATACTTTATTGCAATATTCTCATAGAGTATCATCAAATAATGAGCTATCTAGCTCATTATTTATCTAGCGCTGAAAGTTATCTAGCGCTGGAATTTATCGTGATTTAACGCTGCTCGTAAATCGCTAGCATTCTCATACGTGACGCATTGAAAACTCGGAAAATAGGCTAAGATATTTTTCACATGAGAAATTTACCAGATTTTTTGCTTATAACAATTTATTAGGCCACAATTTATTTAAAAATTTTCAACAGGAGATGCCATGATCCGCCGTCACAGCGTCCATGCTCCTCGCGATATTGCTGATGATCGTTATCAGATCTACAAGTACTTCAATCCGGTCGAAATCAACGTTATCTTGCCTACACCAGTCGGTCTCTTCACTCATACCGAGGTCAGAGGCTCCTTCAACTTTTAATTCGACAAAATTCCTTTCAACACTGAGATTTGTTCAACAGAAAAAATAATTTTTTCAACTCAAAAGCATAGATTTGCTTGAAAGTTGTAAATTTAAATTTTTGCGACTTCATTTCCTGCCAGCAAGAGTCTTCAGTGCTGCTAAAGGAGATTTTGTTTGTTATAACCATCACCTCTTAATTATAAAAATTTTTATCATTACTTAATATACAAAAACAATCTTACAATATTTTTTTTAAACAGTTAAATTTGTATGCACAAGCATCAGACTTTCTCAATTTTTTTCGTATTAATACAGCGAAAAATTCAACATTTTATCAATAAGCAAAGGCATAACATAATCAAGGTGTTTCAACTGTTGATTTTTATGCATGATTTCGATGGCTTGAGATCTATAAAAATTGTCCATAAAATTTTCCATCGCTTCATTTACCGTTGATCAGAATGCAGCTGAATTTATCGAGACAGGTTTGAACTGTGCGCAATTCTTACAACTCGACCGCGTAACCGGACACCGCCATCTCGTTATAAGTTTTATTTTATGCAAATCCAGTATTTATTTCCACGACTAACTGCCATAGCGTGTCCACAGGTGAGCACTCCTACCGTCATATACATAAACCTGAAGTCGACGACAACGCTGTCGCCGCCCGGCATGCCCGACTCCAGCCAACTGCCCAAGCTGAGGAAAATTGACGTCGCCGCTGAGGGCATTGTCAAGTAAGCGAACATTTCAACATTGTAAATAACTTATTAACTTGCGATTGTTTCGGTTAGGATAATTTATTACGTTTTATAAGTGGTTTCTGAATGAATATTGAGTGGCATGGCAAACTCGATTTACAGTAAGTAATTAATGGTACTGAATTATTCGCTAAACATGATCGGAAATAGGGCCTACAGCTCATTTCTCGCGCCGCTCGGCAATAAAAACAGCATCATACTTGCAAAAGGAAACAAATTGTAGCATTCGATGAACAAATTAAATGTTGCAAAGCTTTCCAGAGGTCAAATTTGATTCGATTTTTAAATAGATAATTTCCTTTGACGGTAGAGAACATATCTGACAGCATCTTGAGCATTATTGTCCGGATTTGTTTTTATTGACACCCGGAAAGAGTTAATTACGATTCCATTCTTTGACCAAATGATAATAAAAGCGTTCAATAATGAGAGGCAACTCTAAAGTAGTAATTATTCAAGAAATGGCACGGCGAAGTATTAATTCAGGAATAGATATGGTAGATAGATCGATTCGATCGCGAGTGAACAGGCGAGTGTCGAAGCTGTCAGACGTAAGTGAACGCTTAGTTGGGCTGCGGCTGGCTCATGGGATGCTTGAGGCACTTATATAGACTCACTACAATGACGTCACGAGATGACGGGGGTGATACTACTGAAGGTATGGGTGGTGACGTATAACTTAACGTTACGGAGACTGACATTATTTCCTTTAGTCAAATGCAACAACGCCAGCAATACACGCGTTGTGGCGACTGAAGCCTCATTAACGTTAGTTAAATGTCTCATTGTTTAAGATCTCTCTCGTTCCTGTCCACAGGGCCGTGACCGAATCGAACACTTACACATACGTGTACGCTCCTGTCTCATTGTTACCTTAATCTTTTCATTCTTGCCCACAGGGCCGTGACCAAATCGAACACCTACACATACGTGTACGCTCCCTGGACCAACAAGACGGCCGTGGCTGGCGTTGACAACGAGAAGTCCTTGTCGCTGCCCATGAACCTGCGCCTCGCTGCCGACGTCAGGCTGCCCGTGCAGCAGCTCTGGGCGCAGCTCACCCCGCGCTTCAACCAGACTTCCGTGAGTACATGAATTAATTACAAGATAAATTTATGATTCTTACAAATAATTGAGAACAAAACTGTAATGCGAGTGCAGGAGCCCTGGTCGCAGCTCACACAGCGCTTTAGCACAATTTACGTGAGGGAAAATATGACTTTTTCCTAAAATAACTACAAGATAGGCTGTATGATTATAAAAAGTCAATGATAAAAAAATTTAAGATACCCTAAGATACCCTAACGCAATGACTAGAAAATCAGGATGAAATATGCAAACTCGTTGATGAATTAAAGATATGAGGTACGTTCTTGAAAAATCTTGTGGAATTAAGATAAATAAATAAATAATTGAATTGAAGATAACAATTTACTTGGATTTTCAAAATTTATCGTGTACATATAGGATTCATTGATACATCAACTAATGAAAAAACATAGTAAATTGTTTAATTACGTTGTGTTTATTTTGATGCCAGGAGTCGATCCCAGTACTGAAGGTTCGCAACGTGCCCTTCACGGGCATCGGCAAGGTCATGCCCAGTCCTGTTCACGACGGGGACTTTGAAAACTTCGAGAAGGTGCGATGGGTCTACGACGACACCCATTTGGTGAGTAAAATTAATATTATTCAATATTATTTAATATTGTTATTTAATATTATTCAAATTTATTATTATTCAATATTAATTTCAGATTTATGTTTGTAAAAACTTGTTGAATAACAAATTGTAGCCACGGAATCGTTTAATGAAATCAGAAACAATGTGACAATAACAATAGGTGGGGAATACCGACTAAAAGTGTATGTAGCAAACAAATGAAAAGTATAAAAAAGTGCATGTAGGCCTCAAGATTGGCCAGTCAACGAGTACAGTATAATCGAGTGCATCAAAATTCATACTTCATAAAATCCCTTCTATGGGGGAGATTATATTTTCTACTCACGCTGATTTTTAAACCACAAGTGATTTACATTTACTCGCAATAATATTCTCATGAACTTCCTGCATTTTTATTCAATTCTTCCAAAAACATAAAAAAATTTCTTCCAAGACTTAGATATTCATTGAAATCACAACGATATATCAGGTGCGCAAGACGATGAAGATCTCCGCTGACGCGACAGGCTTGAACGCTGAAGTTCGCTACGTCGGAGAGCCTGATCTGCCTATCAACCAACCCAACATCATCAAACTCTTCCTGTAAGAAATTCTATGTTCATTTCAATGATTGAATCCACATAAATTTTGTTATGCGATGGTAAAATTTATATACACGAACTAATTAGAATTGTATCTTCGAATTGGAGATGGAAGTGTTAAAGAAATTCCACAGAAAATAGAGTAAAACTTTCCGTCATTTACCAGAATGATTGAGAGTTTCTGCAATTTAGTAGGGCAAAGTCAAGCACTTCAGCTATTGAAGAAATTCATTTATTAGGCAAAAATGAATTTTTGTATTCATTTTTAATTACCTATCTTTTCTATTGGGAGAAAGTTCGAACAATTATTGTGTCACAATCATCAACAGCAGTATTAGTATTAAATTGAAAATTTAGCTTAGGCCAGCGAAAAATTTGATTAACCATAGATTGAAAATAGTAAATAGGGTCTCAATCTGAAATGCAGTTGTGGGTGCTGAAATGAATAGAGATAAGCAAATGCTATCAAAGCATGCAGAAATTTTCTCGCCATGATTAAAATTTATTCAATTTATCGAACAAGAAATGAGAGCTAATGTTTTCATTCTTAGCCCATTGTTTGAAAAGTTCGAGTGCCAAATAAGTGTCCTTCAGGTGTATGAATTGTATTTTAAATTCTGAATTTTTATCCCACATGACGTTAGCTGTATTCACACAATAACGAGGATGTTAATGTCGTTGTTGACAGGGAGCCTAGCCGTCTCGTAGGCCTGCTGGCGTCGCCCACCGTCAAGAACTACGCGCTCACGCTCTACCAGAACCCTGGAGACGCTCCCACCAAGAAGATCGGTCTCGCCCTGCGTCACAGTCAGTGTTTGGTCCAGACAAGATATCTAATCTAATTTGTTCACAAAATAATGAAAATATTGGGATTTATTGTTTTTTGAATGAATTTTTTTTCCCTATGTATACTTACGTAGTTAACTAATAGCAGGAAAAATCTAAGGATTTTACTACTAATATTCTATTTACTTTTTAGTAAGTTGGCTGGCCTAAAGTCAGAGTTTTTGAAGAAATAAGACTAAGATTTTTACGAATAAATTACCTTGAGGCAGTGATACATAAGCTACCCTTGTAACCAGCTTAATTTCTTTCTCGTGCACAGTCGTGAACAAGGGCACTGGATCTGCTCCATTGACAGTTGAGGTAAGTACGGGTGCCTTCTACATCAACAAGTTTAACACGTTGACTACGATTGCTTCATCTAGTACTATTATTTCATTTTTTGCACTTTTTTTAAGCAGGGTTGCCAGACGGTCATTTTTTCCGGACAAATTCCGTGATTTAGTTTTTCTCAATTGCGTTGGCCGGCTAACATGTATTATAAGGGTACTTCCTAATTAAATTTTAAATACTGCAAGAAGAAAATAAATGGAATTTTTATAGCGGAACCTACAAATAACCTAGTATACATTGAATTATCGGCCTTTTTTGTTCTCGGATTTGGCCGATTTTAGGCAACCTGAATTATGCACCACTACCTCCTGGAGAAATACATTTCGTGGTACGCATATGTACCATTACGTAGTCAACGTGTTAAATTAAAAATGGAAAATTTTAAACAATGAAATATGTCGAATAATATTAATTATTCAAATTAATTATAAACAATCTAATTATACCGTGTTATATTAAATTTGACTGAATTTTTTCAAATGATTGGCAACCCGTATAAGCAAGCAAACGAATATAATATTGCTATATTATATTACTATCCATTCAATGCCTATTCGGGTAAAAATAAATAAGTAAAAGTAACTTATCTACAAATGGAAAAAATACTAAAGAAGTAATTGAGTAAAACTGATGTCTCATTTGCCAATTCAATAGAATGTAGAAACGAAAAAATCGGGTTTAATCAGCGTCCTGTAGCTCCATCGCACGCTGACAGCTGTTGACATTTTATACCATTTATCTGGCGCAGGAAGATGCACTCAAACCCATTGACATCGCACCCGAGGATACAATTGAAGAGCGTCAGCAAAAGTTGGTCCAATTCAGCAGTAAGTGTTATTATTTTTAAATAGTAAATTCAGCAATGAGTGCTACTATTGTTACATCATGTATTCAGCAAAGAGTGTTATTTGAGCAAAATAAGGGGTTCACTGTCGCTATTCACGAATGAACAAATTACAGAACATCCATGATGCGAGAAAATGTTTAGTCCAAAGGTGCAATAGTCTCCCGACTGTTCCAAAAAGTTACTTCTGCACTGCATTAGCTACCTGCCTGTATCAAATGAATAGTGACGTGTTTCAAACGCTAATTATCTAGATTCACATTTATTCCTCATCATCGAAGCATTTACGGTAATTTCTTGCGTCTTTTAAATCACTAAATACCGCTAAAAAATTATTGGCCTGAAACCCTTTTTATTGCAATATTAACAATTCTATTCCAAATTGTAGGTATAATTGTAGTTAAAATATTATGAAACAAAAGTAAAAAAAAGTAAGTAAAAAAAGTAAGGATACAAAAGTAAAAAATTAAATAAAAGAAAAGTAATGAAACAAAAGTAAAATCAATGCATAATCAACAGGCTGGAATAACCACGAGTTCTCAGCTCACGTCAACTTCACTGGTGGAGACACGAAGATTTACGAAGCAGCTATCATTGCCGTCGAACAGGAGCACAGCGTGAATTCTGAGAATTCACCACGCGTCTTCTACAAGGTTCAGGCCGCTCTCCTCGAGAAAAACTCCAAGTCACCTCGCAAACCCAAGGTTAGGAAATTCATCAGTCAATTTGATATCCTTTCCATGTTTAATCATTGCTACACAGGTATAATGTCCCTACATCTCACTCGGTTTCGTGTAGGTTGTTAAGTGTGAATGTTTTTGCACTTATTGTCACACTTGAGACAGAGCGGAAATTTTCCCGGATGACCTGGCGTAATGTGTTTGCAGGTATTTCATGAATTTCACTGGCAACGATTGTACAGTTCGATCTGTGAATCGCGATTAACGAGAGCCGAGAAATTTTTACATGTCAAATGTATTGATGTGGTGCATGACTTCTGATCAACAGATTAATTTACTATGAATGTATCCTCCCCGCAGACGTGCTTGATGTTCACAACTGACAGACCTCAGCTGATGCCCGAGGATGCTCGTCGTTCGCCGAGCCCCGACGACGACACGGTCTACATGAACTCTGAAGTTGGCCTCAACATCTACGAGGGATCTTCTTGCAAGAAAGATGACCAGCCCCTTGCTAAGGGAAAAGTGAGTTGAGGGGAAGTATAAATAAATAAACCAACAAAGTCACTTGATGCAAGTCTTGAAAAATTGTTAAGGAAACTAAACTTCATTAGAAAGAACAGCTTTTCGGAAGATGGCTTTCAACTTTAAAGAACAAGTCACCGGTAATGATAAGATTGATCATTCTGAACAGAACATTGCGCAAGTTTGTTATTGTGACTCTCAACTGAAGAACATCGTCGGGAGTTTAAATTTGCAATTGAAGTTTTCAACTTTTTTTTGGCGCTTAGATTGATTTTCTGCATTTCCGGTAAAATGAAATTCGAAACCGACGCTCGACGAGCAAAATTTAGAGATAATTAATGTCTTATTATTTTCGTGCATTTTTTGGATGGAGGAAAGAACTGAATGTCAAAATTTTAATGTTGAAAAAAAAAATCAACCATAGGCGTACCAACAACAAGAACTCATAAAATCTCTAATTCAGACGAAATACCCTTGCAGTTTTTACTCTTTTGGTTGACAATTGCTCTCCTTGCTGTAACGATGAAGTAGTAAACATTAGAAGAAAACGTAAAGCGTTCTTTGACCATTATATTTATATGAATTTGTGAAGATTTTGTACACTCCTGCATACTTAAATAAAAATACCTATCCAGTTCTTCGTTGTCATCTGGAAATTTTAATCATTTAAAATGTTCAGGATATGAACATTTTAATCATTCAAAAGTGCGTATGTCATGAGCTAAGTTGTTCTTCAGGCCACCCTGACTGTCTCGGACAACCGCATCAAGGTACTGACTGGCAAAAGTGGAAAGGAGGGAGAATTCGTCTTCAAGAACAGCAGCGAGTTCTACAGATTGGCGGTCTACGACCAGATGCGTTTCCAAGTTGACTGGCAGGTCAGTAGCTCCAACCACTCAAGTATCGTAGGTTGAAATTATGCGAAGGCGATGGATTGAATATTGGCATTTGTGTCACGATAAGTAACCTGAGATAGATAGTTTAGTAACTAGTAAATATAGAAAGAGTGGCTTCTATATTTAATCTAATAACCGCTTCTCATTTCCAGACTCCATCACCGGCGCTGAAGAATGTCACCATGCGAATCAAGGATCTAGCCGAAGGTTATCTTTTCCCTAAGATCGTCAAAAATCGCATGACCACCAACCAGGATAAGCGAATGGTCGTCAGGGCTGACAGGTTCGTGATAACTCTGTATACAGAAACTTTATTTCCATTAAAAAATCAATCTTATATTACGATCCCTACCTTGTTTAAGAAAGTCTTTTATTACACATGATTCCAGTTAAGGAAATAAAAAAAATTTGCAGGTAACAAACCGATTAAACTCATTTAAAAATTATTCGGTTCATTTGCAGATCCATCTCGGACAACCGTGTTGACGTCTGGATTGAGCTTCCTAAGGAGACGGATCACGCTGAGCGTGTTGAAATCCAACCTTGGTTTGATCACATCTCTGGCTTCACTCCAAACATCTTTTCCGTCTACAACTCGTCGACTACCAAGTTCCTGCAGGCCCATGAAGGACAGTGCCATGTTTCTGCGGAGCACGTGACGACCTTCGACGGGGTTTCTTACTCCAAGCTTCCCACAGCCTGTGAAACAACCGCTGTGGAAATTCAGCGAGGCAAGGACAAGATTGCCGTCACCACCAGCCGGTATCCTGATGCTAAATCATCGACGCGTCTCGTCAAGATATTGTCAGCTGATGATGGACTCGAAATCATCGCTCAAGGACAAAATGTCAAGGTGAGTGAAGCAATCTATTAAGTCCAATGGTAATAATTTATTAGTCAAGGAATAGAGAATCATATAATTGAAGAATCGTAATTCGCAAACCGACGAATAATTCAAATAGATTGATTTTATGAAAGACTTAGCAGGGCATCAACAAAAATCAGCAATCATTTATCTATGGAGCAGAAAAACAGTTTTGGACAGATGATACAATTTAAAAGTTTGATCGCCAAACACGGAAGAGAGTGACATCTAATTTCGAGGATTGAGGTGCAAAGGGGATTCATTATATTACTGCTGAAGTTGATTCTCAATAAATGCATCATAAAATCAATTATTTTTAACTTCGACGCCTACGGCCCATACATTAACATTGCATACTCAATCAGTGATATATTTTCCCAGATCAACGGCCAACTGATGCCTCCTTCTGAGAAGACGGAAGAGGTCAAGGACGAGTCCGGAAACGTTATTGCGAGGGTGTCCAAGACAGGTAGCACCACCAAGATTAATCTGCTCGAGAAGATTTTGGTTATTCTTCAGGACAACACTGAACTCTTGATCAAGGTTGATTCTCGCTACAAGAACGCCACCCAGGGCCTTTGCGGAGGTTTCAATGGAGAAACTGCACGAGACCTCTTTGATCGCAAAAGCTGTATTTACAGGCCTGATGCTGGATCAATGTTCGCCGCTGCCTGGGTCAACAGTGAGGAACAGTGCGAGGAGGAGACCTTGAAGAATCTCTTCGTGGAAGTTCACGATAAACAAGCCCATCATTGTCAATCACTAATGAGTTCTTCGTCTTCTGAGGACTGTAGAGTTACAAAAGGCTATCCTATCGTCAACATCGAAGGATCCACTTGTGTTAGTGAGACTGAAGAACTCGTGTGCAAGCAGGGCTGCAAGAAACGCAACAAGAGCAAGGAAGAGAACGTAAGATTTCCAGGGCCGAGAGCAATATTTGATTCTTTAAAGTAAGTTAATTTTTCAAACACATGAATTAAAAACTGATGTTTTTTAACCGTCGGAATAGTCAGTATGAGGTGAGAGATCTAAAATTGGCATTTCGCTAACAAATTTTTTTTTTTTTCACAGGTTCCGTTCAAGTGCTGGCATCATGGCAACGTGCCTAAGGAGGTTTTGGCTAACAAGTTGAATGGCTACATGCCTAATCCATGCGACATAAAAGAGGATTTCAAGAAGTCCACCACTTACATGGCTCCGCACAACTGCACCAGCCGTATCTTGACCGCGCATGGGGTTGGTCTGGACCCTGAATGTTTCCTGACAGCGTACCCAGTGTCTCAGGAAGGACCCTTGCTGTGCACCACTGAAGAGCCTCATCGCCTGTGCAAGCCTGAATGCAGGGTTGTCGACACTATGCCGCGACAGGTAATTATACTCAATCCCATCAGTATATTTCCTGTCGTCTGAGCATGCTTGTATCAAGCATTGTTTCATTAAATTTTCAATCTTCAAACTATAATATAAAATTTGAATTCTTTATTATTAGCCAGTGGTTTGTGACTTGTTGAGAATCTGTCGGAGCATTTGTTTGGCACTGCCGGAGCATTTCACCAGAACTCGATTAATTTGCCCGCTATTCAAGCTTCCAACCCTGAGTCAAGCGATCATGCAAGTTCAAGGAATTGAACACAATAGGCCATTGCTAACATTACTTACATTAAATATCGACTCTAATGATAGTCATTCCCAAACATTGAATGTGCATCATTCTATCAACATTACGCATAATTAACTAACCTATTATTGTTACTTACATTTGTATTTCTGCTATACAGGCGTCCGGCAAATGCTGGAACATAGACGACGCTCCTCAGGAGTTGCAGGACGCCCAGAAGGACGGCTACATCGAGAAGGCGACGACCGAAGAACCTCTCCTCAAACGCGTCTTGGCTGTCCAGAGCGCACGTCTCTGCATCAAGTCTAACGAGCGGCAATAGGATCTGAAAGCCTTGTGCCTTGCAGTGTCTGACGGCACTCGGCACCAACACTTTGCTTTAGATATGACAGCTCAATACTTCTTCAGGCTATTAGGTGGGATTTAGCGTTAAAAATTAGAGGATCAGATAAGGTTAAAACGATTAGACTTGCTTGGTGTGCTTATGGCACTCCAGTTAAACAAGCATGGCGACGTCAAGATCACTGGAAGGCCTGATGAGGGAAAGTATGAAAAGTGTTGATCACGTTCAATATAAAAATTAATAATCCGCTTCATCCCAAAATATAACCACACTATAGCTTGGAAGTGCCTACGTTTTCATCAATAAAAATTTCAGCGTAATGCAGCGACGGTTACTATCCTTACAACTGAGTAGCCGGACGTTAGGACGTAAAGAGTTGCTGGCCCAAGTAAATAGCAATAAAGTCGACATCAAGGACTTCAACGCGCAAGAAATGGGCAAGTTGCAAGATGGTACGTACTATAATTCAATACGACATGTAGTAAAGAGAAGAAAAAACATTTAAAAATTAAATTCATCACACATATCCTGTCAATTTCAAATAAGCGAAAATTCCACCTTATAGCAGGTAACGTAGACTAGAGCCGGTACACTAATACAAGAAACAATGGCAGAACAACCATTTAAAAATCTGGTATGATATTTTTGCAAGATTGCGACGACAAATCTAACCATATGTCCCATGATTAAATGAGAAAACGAAGGTTCGATAGATAAGATAAATATTTAGAAACGAAGGTTCGTTTCCAACACACGACTGTAAAGGAAAAATTTTACCGCATCCCATCACAGGCTGCATGACAGTGAGCAGGTCTTCTTCCAACCAAGGACGAGAGAAAAACAAAATGAGTAATTTGAATGTTTATTGAAGATAGTTTATTATTTGCTACTCGTAAAACCCCTTTCATTTAAGCGGCCAACTGAAGACATACGGGTCATGAGAATATACGGCTTGCGGTTGACGATAACGCTTCTATTTGTTTCTAACGTTCCTCAGTTAACATTAAATATACCTCCTAATTCTCCACGACTTCCACTAAACGCACTCGAGCCCTTTAAATCGTAATGTAAAAACCCTGATTCATCGTGAGTGACTCAGTAAGCAGCAAGTAGCGAATCTTTCAGAATCGCATGTCGATTCAAGTGAAAAGAATTATTTTAATAACACGAATGGCAATCCCACGAGTCACTGAACATGGTCAGAAGTTCTTCGTTGCGATTCTATAGATGAAGTAAAATTCTACCATAAAAAAAACGATATTTTCAGGAAATAGTTTTACTCGGACTGCACGCCAGACGTTCGATTCGATTCCAAGCCATGGACTTTAACTTGAATTAATTACAAGGATAACGTCACTATTTTCGAAAATGACAAAGGGAATATCAAATACAAAGTAAAAATTATAATAATCCGTTCTTAAAGATTTTTTATACTAGGTAAATATATCGAGACGAATTAAAAGATTTGGCAACAACGTAGAATTGTGATGGTGGTCGCAATGAACCTAAGCGGCGCTTCAGATCTCTTACAAAATACTGGCTTCGTCTTAGGTTGCAAAATATAATTTGTTCAATAAAGCTCACCACATTTAAAATAGGAGCATCTACTTGATTTTGAGTCCATTGACCCCATAATATATGATTTTTAATCCTTTTGAGTAAGCAAATAAATGAATATTGCAAAGTAACATCGTGTATCAAAACTCAAAATGAGCGAGTTCATCAAAGTTTCACTACAGTTTTATGCTAGACTATCTTTAGTAAAATATCCTGAGTTAAGTATCCAGGACATCTAACTTTATCAACGCTGAACAAAATCATGCAACCAAACGGCTAACCTTGCGAGCGAAGCACTTGACAACTAAGAGCTGCACCCAACACAAAGCTTAATAACAATATTATACAATGACTAGAACAGCAGCTGACGGTTTGACACGAGCCTAGAAAGCAACAATACTTCAACTGATATGCAAGCGGTATAAGTACAACATAGGCCACATTTCATTAGGGAACTGCAACACGAGTTTCTATGCCAGCTAACATACGACACCTTCAGAGATTTCACGTCTTCAAAGAATGAAGAAACATGCAATTGAATAGGAAGTTATTTAGATTTGTATCAGTGTCATGAGGAAAATATGGAAGTATTTAGCACAAGAAAAATCCGTTAACATCTAAGTAAAGAAAGAATTTATCGGAAAACAACAATTTAAATGTCAAGATAATTATAATGAGGAAGATATGGAGTAGCATAGGATCATAGGATGCATTGGTTTGTTTTGCAGCAAAACGAACTATGCGGGCGATTACAGGAAGTCTTCAGCCAGGTAGCTGACGTGTTCGCCTGAAGCGAGCATAGCACGTGGACCTCAGCTTCTTCTCGGTCAACTTTTCGGGCCTACGACTAGATGGTAGGTAAACTATCAACTTTGCATCATCTACGCATAGTTTTTTCAGTTTTTTAGGGTAGTTGTAGTAGTAGGATGGTTTGCTAGCGCTTCAGGATGGAGTAGTAGTAGGATGGTTTGCTAGCTATCACGATATTTCGCACCGGAGGTGAAAAATTGACATCGCCAGCAAGGCGGACTGTCTCAATTTTTAAAAATTTCTGAAATTAACCATCACCCACAAGCAAGGGGATGCGTTAGACAACGAATATATTGATAATGTGACAATGGCATGAAACACAAAATAAGGTTAGACGAAGAGATTTGCAAACTAATTTAAAACGAAAAGAAGAAAAGCAAAGGTATCTTCGAGCAGCATGCACATTTATGAGACGGATAGCAACGTAGAAAAATGCAGCTTGGTCGAGTTTTGTACTAGTGGAAAAAAGCACCCGTCCCGTAAATAAAATGAGGAAATATCTGCAATAAAGGAAAGTAAAATAACATTGAGCCAAAAATACGGCCAATTATAAATCGTATGTACGAAATCGAAGACAAAACACAAAAATGTTTTGGATGATACACGTAAAAAAATGTATTAGAAAAGATTTTGTGGCACCGCGAGATCAACTATGTACAATATGTAAATGAGCTATGATTACCGTATAATAAGTCGATTTACACATGCTCGAGGTCATGACAACTCATTTGCCGAAAAACAGAGACAATGATGAAGTATTTATCGCTTTCTCATGAGTACAAATGCGAACTTACAACCTCACAATCACGTTTAGGCAATGACCTCTCAAATCAAACAATTGACTTCGATCACCACTCAAGATGTGAAAAATTGTGCGCAGATGTTGAGCGCTCAAGTTGAATGTAACGAAGTTTAAATGAAGGAAGACAAATGAAAATTAAAGACCTTTTAACTTAAAGCGAAAAATTTGTCCGGAAATTTAAAAAGTCTAAAATCAACCGAATATAAAAATGCATCAATTAAATACGGCAATTTAATACTAAGAAATTGAAGTGAAATTAATTAGATCGCGTCGGCATGAACAACACCTGCAGTGTCGTCTTATGCGACGACGGCATCGGGGGTGCACTCAATTAACTAGATGCGTTGGTAGATGATTCCTGACCAAACATTGCTCAATGCAAGAGGGTGGGGTTTGATTTCTAGTAGGGCGAACCAGGAAATTCATGGATTCAAGACAAAAAAATAATAGAAAATATTGGAAAAATATGGGCTAACTTTAAACCAAGTTTTACAAATTATGCAAACCAAGATGTAAACAATGCTAAAGTGTGACCATTTGATCGTAAAAAAAGTCATGCAGAAATTACGCGAAGATAAAGTACCTACAACGTCATCAAGGAATAATGGAAAATTAGTTCATCAGTTGTTCACAAAAGTCGGCCAAGACTAGGGCAACAAAAACTGCCGGGTTGCGTAAGAAGCGACGTTACTCGCAAGGCTTCTAATAGAATAACTAATAAATTTGGGCAGAGGAGGCTCATAGGAGACCACCCTTACGTCCCACTTTCATAACTCCTAACTGCCCCATAGCTTCTGAAGACGCTGCTAGGGGTACGGCTGTTCTTCTGGGCACAGTGCCCAGGTCGCGTCTGGGTGCTCCAGGTTTAGGTAGCTGGGTAATGTCCGAGTGCCCAGGCGGCACAGGCACGCCCAGAGGAGCGTTGCTGGGCATAGGAGGACGGTAGGCGCCTGGAGATAACGAGTCAGGCGAGGGTAGTGACGGCCCGAGTGGAGGGTGACCGGCTCGTATCAAGTTGGAGAGATGAAGTAGTGGTGACGGAGGTACGGGTCTTGGCGCGATCACCCCACCGATTTGTTGAGACCCAACAGGAGTAGCAACAAATGCTATCTCAGACACCTTGTGCAGGAGGGAACCACCACCCGGCAGCACCGGAGATCTGGGCGGTGAAGGGTAGAGGGTGCGTCGGATCATTGATGCTCCCTCGAGCAGACTGGCACGCAGCTCCGTCAGGCCTGATCACGAAGAGCTCTCAGTTAAAGGAAAATATTTCTAAGCATAGGAAAATTTTCACGAAATAATGCATCAGCAGATTCAAAGAGTGAAACTACGAAGAGTTGTAAACAAGAAAAACTCTATCGGCAATGCTCAGCTATGATAAATAATTTAGAATTACGACAACATCGCCAATTCCAGAGAATTGAACTTACTGGGTAAGGTGAAGTGTGAGGTGACAGGTGTGCTAGCGCCGCTGCCCTCTGGGCTGTTGGCAGGGGTTGCGGTGGGGTGAGGGGCGCAAGTGAGCGCCTCAGCGACGCCGCGCTCGTGCAGTACGCGCGCCAGGCCCACGTTGGTGGAGAACGTGGCGGTGCTGCCGCGTCGGGAAGCTGGCAGGGAGGGAGGTAGCGCGGTCGAGGTGTTAGGGACGCTGCACGACACTTGTAGGCCTGGTAGAGCGCTGAAAGAAAATGTTACTTGTTAATAAATGCTTTAGTATTTTTAAATGCTTTAGTATTTTTGAATGCTTATTATTTTTAAATGCTTTATTATTTTCAAATGCTGTAACGTAACTTCTTTATTTGAACATTCTACGCATACACTAACTGCCGTCAATGCTATCAACTGAAGGCTATGACACAAGAGTTACTGTCAGTGCAGGACGACATACCTGCTGGAGTGCGTGGTGTCGTCCACATGGAGGACGACATACCTGCTGGAGTGCGTGGTGTCGTCCACATGCAGGACGACATACCTGCTGGGGTGCGTGGCGTCGTCCACATGCAGGACGGTGCTGTTGGTGAAGGTGAAGACGCCCGATGTCTCCATGAACTGCTTGCGAGGCTCAGTGATCGTCTCGTCGTCCTCCTCCAGGTCAGACAAGGAGAACAACTCCAAGTCACTCCGCGTCCCGAGGGCGCTCTGATTCAATGCATGGTCATATGAATATAATATATATTAATTATTATAATAAATAATATTACCCAGTGTCACGACATACAATTTTCACGAACAGACTCAAACCTCATTATTTGTTTCGAATTTCATCATTTATATCTAAATTCTACTATTTGATACAACCTCAGTACTAGATAAAAAGCTCAATCTTCAATGAAAAGGTCATTCTTACTTCATATTAAGATTATAGGCCCAGTTTTCACCGTGTACCATCTTATTGACATCCGGGGCCAAAATAAAAGTGGGGAACGAAGTCCTTTATGTTTAAGACAAGTATACAATAAAATCAGCATAAGCTGAGTCATAAAGAAAAGTTTTGAGAAGACAATACAGTTCGAAAAAACGTAAAATCATAAATTGAGGAAGGCAAATAAACACTGAAATAAATATTAGGAAGTGGAAAAGGGAAGTTTCTTACTTAAAAACATAAACAAAAATAATAGAGAAAGAAATTGCAAGAGAATCGAATAATCAAGAAGTATTTCGTCAAGAAGGTTAGAGCAACGCAGAGGCCAGCAAAATTCAATACAGCACCCGAGCGAGGCATGGATTGCTTAGCCATTATTCTAAGGATACCTATATTACCCGTCGTTACTGTATACCGGTTCAAGGGGAAAGCGATCAACCCCTAAACAAACATGCAAGAGTTCCCTAGCTCTAATACAACATGAGTTCCCTAGCTCTAATACACACAAAAAACTGCCCTTGTGCAGGGCCGTTACCTTGACAGCTATGCCATCACTGTGGGGCTGCATGAGGCCGCTGAGATCAGGAGTAGCGAGACGAGACCAGTGGTGCAGCGTCAGGCTTCCCTTCATGGGTTTGATGATCTGAAGCTTGGTGCCGCCCATGCCCCGACTGCCCTGCTCGGTGCTGCCCCATGCAGGGCCTGTGTTGTTAAATCCTCATTAAAGTCCACTCAAGAGACACGCGTCGATTCACAAGTAAATTTAGGTCAATTCTTTAATATAGAATCTAATAGAAACGAAGGTTGGATAAAAGAATGCAAGTTATTTTACTGGTAAAGATGGCAATGATTGGGGGCATAATTTTCTCGCACAGAACAAACTAGCAAACAAACATTAACTATCTCGCTAAACGCGTTAACAAGGTTTAATGCGGTATAAATTCTTCAGGGAATGTATTAATTCCAAAAAATTAAGTATTTAATTTCATTCGCTTCATTTTTCCTGCTAACGATCATAAAGAGCTACTTAAACCTTAAGACACGACTGAAGCCATGCGCTTCGGATGTAGTCAAAATTGGCGTAATCTTCATTGATAATGCGAACAAAACCCAATAACAGCACATGACAAATGACCTGTAGCCAAGATGTAGTCAGGGGTGCGGCAGCCGTAGGGCAGGGCGGCGGCGGCGGAGGAGGTGGTGGTTGTTGTGGTGGTGGCGGTGGGATGCGCTGGTGGGATGCGTTTCAGTATCGCCTTCAACTCCGGGGTGCCGGGGAAGCCTGGAACGCCCACCTGACTGGCGCTGTGGAATGGAGTTGATATTGAACATCGTTAATGAGAAATGCTGCGAACAAGAAATTAAGTGATAAACGGTGAAATGCATCATTTAAAAGCAGACAGAATACGTTGGAAATGAGACGAGCTTGGAGGTAGTTCGAGTCCTACAACTCCGGGTTCAGTGAAACGATAAATTAAGTTCGGCAAAACAATGAACTGAGCATTGAATTAAGCTGAAATCGATCTTCATAATGATTCAATTGAGTGAAAATAGAGAAGTTCATCAGATAACGTGAGTGCGTGACATGACCATGACCTCTTCAAATGACGGGACTAATCGCATATAGGAAGAATCAGTGTTGCTTGTGCATGCAGTGCATAGATATTCAAGAGTTTGATTTTACGACCGTAACATTTAGAAGATGCTGCAACTCAACACTAACAAGGAAAAACAGTGGATATATTATAAGGGTATAGGGCAAGTTTTGAGGGACGCTTTTCACAGTTGATAGCAAGGTTTGCATGCCACGAGACTCACTGCACACACCGGCAGTTTCATAGAAAAAAGTTCTCGTAACACTTCATACAATGATGAATCTTTACAGACATTTGCACGTATTTTAATCGAACAAATAACCTTGTTCTAGCAAATTAGTTTCAAGAAATCAGTCGAGTGTTAAGGATTAGGTTTTTTGCGACATTGATGCTAACACATTTGAGGAACATGTGTCTAGTACAAGTTCTTGTATTTGCGGTCTTTAAGGCAGCTAATTATTGCTTTCATTCAAACCGACTTCACGCGGTAGCACACAGTAAGATTCGGAGCAAACTATGTTTGATCTTTAAGAGCAATGAAACAATAGCAAAACAAAGTATGATATCCAATTGATGTTATATACATTGGTGGATGGAAAGAACGAATAAAACAGGCAACAACAGCATTATTAAATAAGTACGAAAATTGACAAAAATTTACATGCGAGATATATGAATTAATAGGAAAATAGAGTGGAAACAAAAGAAAAGAACATCAAGATGTCATCAAAGGTATAACATATTTATGAGGTAAGTCAACATTAAGGCTATGTACATTAAGAGTCCTCGGTTAAGCAGCACAAGCAAACACATTCACGAATAAAGGATGAGCAGTCGCTGCAAAGATGCTAGTTTCGAGGCCCTTTAATACTAAATTAAATAACATAGATTAACTGACTCATATCAGGAGGGAAAATTTGTATCGATAACAATAATAGACAAATAAGAAGTCGGGAATAATATCAGTAACACACCTGCCAGCGCCGCTCTTCCCGCGGCTGGACAGGAGACACGGTAACCGTTAGTTCAGGTGTACACACAGACTTGCCAGCTAAATTATTTTTTACTTGCTTCCACAAAAAAAATCTAAATAGTTAGGTATTAGCAGACACAATGAACAATAAATACTGGCCGGATTATCAAAAAACGGGACGAGTTCGCAACTCCGTTAGCTAATCTGTGATGGGTATGCAAGCTAAACCTACCAATCAAAGACGAGGAATCGGCCGCTACGCGTACTTAGCCAAGTTTTGATAGTACTGCCCCAGTTTGACAAGCGTTGGCTAGCCTAATAAAGAAATATTAGCCTAGTCTTGTCTCGTTACTGCGGCTAGTGACGAGGTTGAGCGACTCACGGGTAGTTATCCTCTGTGTCGGTGCACATGTCAGAGTCAGCGCCCGAGTCCAGCGATGGCTGCCCTGACGCAGTCATCGACACTCCGCTGTCCCACGGCCTGCATCACAACACAGCCATCACTTAAAGCCTTCACACACTAGTGTTTAAGTGTCAATACACATCAGGTAACATACGCGGTACAAGTGTTGATGTGTCGAACCGGCTTGAAGATTGAACAATTTAGATAATTAGTATACAACAGATAGATAATTAATAATAGATAATTGCAATGCAAAATGCACATACTACCTTATCGCAACATACGTAACGCGTAACCGCGCTCGAAACAGCAAAATTAATTCAACTCGTAAAACTGAAAAATCATTTCCGATCAACAATCAAGTAATTGGTCATGAACAATCGAGTAATACCCATTAATGCTTACAAACATTGCTGATGCCTATCACATTTTTTCATGGTATTTTCTCGCTGAATTTGGTGCAAACACATGTACATTTGGCAGAGATTTAAGACATCACACTAAATTCTTGATTGTTGCATCATGACAGTCTGCAAGAACAAAATTCAAAATATCTGTTGACTGGCAGCTGCTTGCGGTGAACTATAAGAAGAGAAATAACTTGATGATAAATTCATGTTTCTGGAGAGTGAAATACAATGTAATCACGAATGGTTTGCGGTTCGTGTGATTGTTGGGCATTACAAACGAAGGTTGATTCTTAACTTTTCCCGGGTGGAGTTCTTACCCGGACTTGTACAGGGAGCCGGCAGAGGGCGTGTAGCAGCTTCTGCTGGAGTTGTAGCTGGGCATTCCAGGGGTGTGGGATGTGTAGCCGGCGGTGAGGCTGGTACTGTAGCCGGGCGTGTAGGAAGTGTAGCCCGGGGTGTAGGCTCGGTGTGATGGAGTGTGCAGGGATGAAGAGCTTGAAGAAGAGTATGGACGAGCCGTCATCTTGACTGTGTCTAGAACCCGGCACGTGTAACCGGAAGCACTGCACACACAACAGGAACACGCTCGAGGTTTGGACAAGAGATTTTTATTCATTTCATTTTATTTCATTTTCTCGAGGTTTGGACAAATGATTTAGGACAAGAATACAAGACTTAAGCAAGATTTTTGAAGTCTTAACGATATTTTCCTAGCGGATAACTGTGACCCATCCTAGTTATTTCGACCGAGACTTTTGGATGCCAGTTGCTTGAGATTTTACTTAAAGGTTGAACGAAATAACGAAGTAAGACAAAACAGCAAATCGAAAGAAGAAAATAAGGCACAAAATTAATCAAGAAGAACACTTGAGATTTTGAGTTGCTCAAAAAAAGATGAACTAACCCCAACATGGACTGCGGTGGAGGTGGCGTCAGGGAGACATTCAAGGAGCTGAGCTCGCTGGCGATGCTATCGCCCCCCAGGGAGGAGAGGTAGGGGGAGCCTCCCCCTAAGGGATGGTACAGGTGACTGCCCCGACTAGGACCAACGCCCATGTTCTGTAGGAGGAGGGGGAGACTACAACTTACTCGCGTGTTAATGAATTGGTGTGTTAAATGGTGTGCATCGCACAGTGGGCGATGAGGCACATAAATGTGTACAATTATATTCAGTTATACCAAGCAACAAATTACATATTAATGCCATTCATATTGAAACAATTGACTTTAAAAATTTCTTAATTTTAAATAAAAATGTACCTCTAAACCAAAACCGGTTAAGCGTCAAATCACAAAGGAAACTTGTTAACTCGGCACACACATTTGATCAAAGAGCGTCTCAAAGACCTCACTAAGAGGGAGTTGACCTCACATGAAGGAGTAGAGCTCACCTTCTTAGAGTACCTCCTGAGCTGCTCCTGAGTGTCGTGAAGGAGGTCGAGCACTTCAGAGTATCGCTCTTTGAGCTCAGCGATCTCAGCGCTGAGTTCCTGCTGACACTCACGACTGATGCTCACCAACGACGCCAGCTCCTGGTTCTCCTCGCCACTCTCCTTCAACTTTGCCTGCAACACACGTCCATTTTAACGCTATGTACTCAAAAATCCATAATAATAATACACGTCCGTTTTAACGCCTTTTACTCAATAATCAATAAAAATAATACGTGCATTTTAACGCCATTTACTCAGGAATAAAGAGCGATAATAATCCATTATCAAAGGACATAATAATCAATCAAAAAAAAGGGGATGAGTTTGCAACTCCGTCAGTCAATCTGTGAAAGGTTTGCTAGCAGAATTCACCAATGACTGCAAGACTTGCTTTTGAAAGTAGGAATCTTGTTTTTGATACGCAGGTCACATCAAGCACAATTCGCGGAATGATACGCATTAAATTCGAATCATAAAAACTGCACCTAAAATTAAATGGTACTCAGCATTCAATGATTCGCCTACGCTCGTAAAACAGACTCTCTTTATGGAGTCTTGCGTTGACAAAATAAATCTATACAATAGTCTAGGTTGAATGTTTCTCAGGATTAAACACGGTCTTTTGGGATAGTCTCACCGCAAGGTTCGAATAATCAGAAATGAATGTTACCCTGCATCATAAATTAAAAGACAATGCAGAAAAATGTCACTCGAGAGAAGTCATCAGAAAAAATAATGAATCATGGCTTTTTTATAAGTTGAGTGATCAATTTTCAAGTACTAATTTCCAAATAAGATTAAGTTAATTATGAAGTTAGCGCATTTTTCTCCAATGAGAGGCGAAGATATGTCAAGAATTTCTCGTGGCAAACATCGAATATGAAACCCGAGTAAATATGATCATAATGCAGTAAGTATTTAGACGTATTGTATGAAGTTATTCTAGCAAAACATGGTATCTCTAGAGATAATTATCGTAGAAAATAGAATTATAAAATGGAAATTTTGAAATATAAAGATAGAAAATTCAACTTCAAGGAAGAATAACGGTTTATTGAAAGCTGATAATCGGTGGGCACTAACAGCCACAGTAACAGGTGATTCTATAATTTGTCTTCTGTCAATTGCTATTATTAATATTAATAATATAGCAATTATTAGAATTGCTGAGACCTGCAAATCGACGATCTGGGCGAGCAGGAGCGTCGCCTCCTCGTGTTGCTTGAGCGACTCTTCGTTCTTCTGGCGCAGCTCGACGGTGAGCTGCAGCACTTGAGAGTTGGCAGAGTCTGGCAGTAGCAGGCAGGTCACGCAATTGTGAGTACCAAATATTCATTTTGTCTTATAGCCGTAGTTAAGAGGCGAAATTTATGTGCAAATAATTCAGCCAAGGACCTAAACCACTCATTTGAATCCTGTCTGAGAAGCTGAATGCAGAAATTCCAACACGAGCCTGGGAATATGCACATCATACGCCGTTTTCAAAAAATGTTCAAAAACAGACAGTGAAACAAGGAATTTAAAAGCAAAGAAAACGCCAAGCAAATTCACCACATCGATATTGAAAACGTTTCGGAGTCCAGCTCCATCATCAGTTCGACAATCTAAAAATGATTTTTATGAAATTGAAATTTATTCATAATTATATAATAATTCAAAATTAGGACATTTAGAAAAAATGTCCTAATTTTGAATTATTATATAATTATGAATAAATTTCAATTTCATAAAAAATCATTTTTAGATTGTCGAACTGATGATGGCGCTGGACTCCGAAACGTTTTCAATATCGATATGGCGAATTTGTTTGGCGTTTTCTTTTCTTTGCTTGTAAATTCCTTGTGAACTTGCGATTTAAGCAGACTGATAATATAAGAAGAGACAGTGAAAAAGATATAATAAATATTTGATAGGCCGTGAACTGACCGAGCTGCTTGATGACGTCCCTCATGAGGTCGTCCTCGCGCTCCTCGCACTCAGTGGTCGCTCCTGCAAGACGCGACGCCTCGTCTCGCAGCTGCAGGTTGTCCTCCTGCAGCCGACGCACCTTCTGCTGCAGCAGCTCCACGCCCACGTGACGCACCGTTGACGGCGTCGCTGCTCATCAAACAATCACAATAATAATATATGATAAATAAACTAATATAACACGGGCTAACGACGTTGGTTTCGTCCTAATCAAAACCAATCTCAGCAGTGCCTAGGATCTCCCACGAAAAACATATAGAAAGTTTCTTTCGGGGTACCACTTATGGTCACGCTGGTGAATTGCAACCTGGAACACCGAGAAATGAACTGAGCGTCACAAGACTTCATGGCTATCTCTACTCTCTATGGTGAGTATAGATATGCCGAGACCCACTTAACCTTGACATCCACTTAACCTTGATTTAACCACCCTAAATGACAAAGCCGACACCCACTTAACCACCCTAAATGACAAAGCCGACACCCACCACCCTAAATGACAAAGCCGACACCCACTTAACCACCCTAAATGACAAAGCCGACACCCACCACCCTAAATGAGAAAGCCGACACCCACTTAACCACCCTAAATGACAAAGCCTACCCCCACTTAACTACCCTAAATGAAAAAGCCTACACCCACCATTCTAAATGACAAAGCAGACACCCACTTAACCACCCTAAATGACAAAGCCTACACCCATTTACCCACCCTAGCACCCACGTGACTCTCCAACAACCCCCGCTACGCCGTCGTGAAGCTGCATCATATTTATCGCACTCACTCTCCCTGCTGCTGTCGTCGGGGTCGTCGGTGTAGATGGAGAGGAGGTTGGATTTGAGGTGGAGCTGGTGCTGGAGTTGTGTGTTGGCCTCAGTCGAGGCTTGGAGTTCCTGCTCCAGCAGGGCCTGGCGCTCCTCCAGGGCGCGGTTACGGCACACCAACTGCTGCCCAATGCGGGCCGCCAGCTCCAGGTCCTTCTCCTTCTGCAGGCCCAACAGACAAGAACTAAAGTAAGGGTTAGTTCGAAAGTCATTTTCAATTTCAAAACAAAATGATTGTAGAAATGAAACCTGATACCCAGAAGACACTAACAGGTGATAATTATAATTTATCTTCTGTTAACGGGAACGTAACAGAAAACAAGAGTTCATGTGCAGGCAAAACTCAAGTCATTTTAAAGTTCAAGGAACGGTTGAGTGAAGGCTGATACCCGGTTAACACTTACACGTGATTTTAATAACTTGTCTTCTGTCAACTGTAAGTTAATGGCACAACAGAGCTGACGTCCCGCCATAATAAAAGAACTGAAGTAAACGCTATAAGATCATTCATTTCACTGATTAGCAAACGTTAGTACTGCTGTACAAAAAAAATTACACTTCTTTACTGCTTAGTGCTCACGTACTGTATATAAGCAGCTCGCTCTTCATTAGTGTCAATAGTGGACATTATGTCCACTAAGCACTAACCATAGAAAAAAAAACGGATGATGAGTAAGGACAACACCAGGGAGAGAAAAATGTAATGATGGACGAAATCTACGACCAACGGAGTTATTTGAATGTTAATGACCTAAGTTGAGCAAACTTACAGGTCTTGAGTATATAAGGTAATAACGATATGAGACGACAGGGAACTGCAGTGACAAGTGTTACAGTTCAAAGATTTCATTTCAAGAGATTCATGGAAAGTCGGCAAGGGTCGGTGGGACAACAACAATTTGTGTCGAGTGTAGATTGGAAAGAGCCTATAAACAAATTGTATTAATTTGTTTATTTCTGAATACTTTCTGAATTAACCGGTACTGACTGACTACATCTTCTGAATATATATTTTTGAAAAGTTTTTATTCAGAAGTGAAACAATACGTAATCCTCGAGAAAAATGCAGATTAAATTGACGGGAGTTCATCCCTAAAAAAACGACATCTGTATTTGTGAGGAATATTCGGTCTTCTTCTTACTGAAATAACGCAGCCACGACTCGTGGAACGCAGCATCAATACCGAGACCGAAATAATGACAGCGTAGGACATCACCATATCGATCTCCGGGAGCAGCACAGCAGCATCGCCAGGAATATGCACGCTAAAAGTGTGCGCTGCTGTCTGGCTTTTTCATATCTCTTTTTGACGAGTCAACTTGGCTAGTCCATTTAAAATAATTAAATTTTGAAATGTAAGCTAATTTCTCGTTTCAATTTGGGCAAATTTTAGGCATGAATGAGCACTATTGTCAGGCTTTTCAACTTCTCTTTCTGATGCGTCTTTTAGTTAAGTCTATATAAAGAATTAAATTTTGAAAGGCAAATTAATTTCTTGTTACAAATTAAGACAAGCACAAAAAATAAGCAAGAGGAGGAAGGTACGCACCTCTTCGAGTAATCTGGTGACGGCGTCCACATCGTTGTAGGTCTTGGTCATCTGGCTCACCCGACTGCCGCATAACACTGCAAATATTAATAGATTCATATAATAATAATAAATAGTTTCGTGTAATAATAATATTATCCATTATGTATTTTGAATTACCTGCCTAACCCTAACCAGCCAGTTCATAAAAAGTGCACCTTCGAAGGTGCCGAAAACCTCAATTGAGGCACTTGCCAAAAATAAAACAAGATAGATTACACTTTGATAACCAAAAAGCTAGCTGCATGTTACTATAATTAAGGACGCTGGCACAATAATTAGGACGCCTTAAAATGAAGCGCCTTAAATGAAGCACAAATTAAGACCTTAAATTAAGGACGCCTTAAAATGAAGCACAATAAAATCGTGCAAGAAGTTTAACAGATAAGTCAGATTAATTAAGGCATCGAGATAAGGCTAACATCGCACATTATTTGCAGCTCTGGCGGTGCGAATTTCTTTCATCTATGAGCCACAAGATTGGGTCGACACCTTCCTTATTATTCACACTGTACTTCATCTTCTTGTTGACAATATAAGCTTGCAAATAGCAGCGTTACTGCTTAATTTTGCGTCGCCAGGCATAACGAAGGCAATGTTTTACACAAGGTAAATAACATCAGCACGCTTGAATCATGCCAACAGTCTTGAATATTACCGATTATATATACTTTTTCTACGCATCAAACCGCGATGACCTCATATGACACAGAAACTGAGTAATACACATGAACAAATATTTGCGCGCTAACGACTCCATCGTCTGTAATGACTGGAAGTATTAGTATCAAGCACATTAAAATATCAATCATTTCCGTAACAATCCCATAGTAGCGCTTGTACCTGCAGCGTGACAATCATCCCAGAGGTAAGCATAAGGACGGTCCCCAGTCTCAACCGCCATGGAAGAACCATCGCCGTTACACCACACGAAGTGCAGCGTTGCGTCCAACATTTCAATGTAGTCCTACTCCTCGAGACCAGGACGCTCATAGCTTACATTTATATCTCTAGACTCCGCAAACACGGCAACGGACAATCGGTACAGCATCAAATAGCTGTCAAAGTCAAAGATATCATTGAGCAGAGTGCGCCTGAATACGGTATGATGTAAACCGAAGTAGCAAGAGTAGTATAACTAACTATACTCAAGTAGGTCTGTAATTGCGCTGTGACCTTTTAAAAACAAATAATCCTCGATGAAAATAACTGAAACAACGTTGAATACGCGTTGATTTCTTCGAAATAGCATTTAATCAACGTATTTTCAACGTGAGATGGCCGGATGGAAGGCTCTTCTCTTCTAACCATCACCAACAACGCCCAGTACTGCCTGTGATCACGCGCTCTTGCTCAAGACTGGCGCGCAGGGTCCGGGGCTGCAGTTCAGCAAGAGCGTTTGTATCGCAGGCACGCACCTGTGCAGCTGCAAACTAATGCTTGTCGTTTACTTGCTCTGGACTTATATTCCGCAAACGGCATCCTAACGATCCTGTGACATCTAGAGTAAAAAATTATATATCCGTCGGCAATGCAATAGAATTAACGTCAAGAATCAACAATGCTGTATAGAGCACACGTACGTTGGAGTAATAATAATCTACATCAAATCCAGGAACATGTTTTTGGATGGAAATTGCGAATGCATGACAGCTTGGCGATATTGAGGTCTAAAGAAATATAAATGAACTTCGTTGGTAAAAAGATTTTTAACATTGCAGTTGACGTCGTTTACTTCATTATTAATCGCTCATTACAGGAAGAACTGGACTATGATATGTGATTACACATTAGCTGTGAGCGAGTCACTTGATCACGTAGCTACCTAAGGCGAACTAATGCTTTTTACAACACTTCTCTTTAACTTCACTTCTTGGTTGTCTGTCTGGCTACTACAAATCTTATAATTGATATTTAACACACTTCTACCTGTCCAATCGATCTGATATTTTGCACACTTGCGTAAAGTTGGAAACAATGCATGTATCAATTGACGGATTAATTTTTTTCAATTTCAATTTTTTAATGTTAAAAATAAAATTAGAAAATTAATTTTTAAAATTTCATAATAAAATTAGAAATTCATTGTACATGTGAAACGCCGGAGACGCTGGATTATTTAGAAGTGTTGTCTTTAAAAAGTAACTTTTAAACGCATGCGGGTATTATTTTATCGTATGTTTCAAAAATATATATTACGACGTAGTAAACGTAGGAACCCACGTAAGGGAATCTTTGAAGAGGATAATCATCTATATGGACGATAACTCATCTCATTTGATCACAATCGTGATTTTGTAATCTATTTTCATCATTTATAGGACTATCAACTTCTTAGTTATACAGCTTCAGATTTCAAGTGTTTCATTCCGTGGGACCAACAGAAAGACCTTGAAGTAAACAATCTTGCTTCATACTGTTTATTTATTTCGTACACATATAAAATTAATTTGTTATGGAATTAAGATCAGCTGCTTAATAATATATAAATAAAATATAGAACAGAAGATGTAATTAAGCAGGTAGCTTGTATTGCCACCCAGGAAGTGATCGCCCTGAATATAACATCAAGAAACTACGGTCGGAGGCGATAAAGTAAACAGAAACCTTGATCACTGCGACATTTTATACGTTGAGATTGCGGATAAAAAATTAGAACATAATTTCAGTCTATGCGAATGGCCGTCACAGCAGCTAACAGTTCCGGGCTAGAAAACAGTACCGCTAGTGTAGTTGGAAAGTCTAAAATTATCAAGGTAACATGAGATGCATTATTACAGGCTGCAGACACGCAGTCTAAACTTATGAAATAAAGAATTACAGAGGTTGTGCGGATAGTTGTTTGAATTGAATTTCAAAACTGGAAACCATCTGGATATATTAAGAATAAATTATAATAAGAAAAAGTTACGCATTTGACCAAACAGTCAAAGTAAAAAGTTTGTGAAAGCAATAATAAAGCTTTTAAATCGAAGCTCCAGTGTATAAATTAGGAAAGAAACTCTTATGCGTTCTGCACTCGAGTTGAACGAATACGTCTGATGTTTGTTTTCATACGAGTGATAAGCCAGCATCAATGACATTATCTTGCAGATACATCGTCTGGAGATATGAATTTTTTTCATCAGCTGAGAAGAAAAAAGATTTCACTGCCGCAAAGCTGCCCTGTGCTTCATTCCAATGAGTGGAGCAGCTCTTGTTGGCTATCTTATCACGCACCTCAGGTCGTTTAGCTTTGTGGATGGTAATTCAATAATTAAAAACTTGATTTAATTTTAGTTAAAAGCTTCCCACGATTTGGAGCTCAAGAACACTATGGATACAAACTTTTTACGTGAACAATTATAAAACCGAGATAAGTTTCCTGAATAACTAGTGAATAACTACAAGGTTGCACCGTAGACTTTTGTTCGCAATTTGGTCTGTAATTCAATAATGTCTATGACACGTGATCAACTGTAGCAGGCGCGGGTCAAGGACTAGCTGCATCAGTACGTTTCCAGACGTTTCAATTGAATTAATCCAATTAATTATTACCACAAAAGTAGACTAGGACAAAGAAGTATATGATAAGAAGTAGATAAGAAGAAGTATAACATAAGATGTGTGTGCTGCGAACATAAGATAATGTGTGACTTGCAAATGCTGCGAATTTTGGTCTAAACTGTGAGAAATGAGTGAAATTTTGTCCAAATAGAGATGCACTTTTTGCCTTTATGTCGGTCATGCTGACTCACTTATTTAGCTCGACTAAAGGAAGTATAAGTGTTACGCGCCGCACTCTGCTCGTACTGGTAGTAAGCAAGTGCTATTTGTACAACATAATCCATCAATTTTTCCGAGTGTAAGGTTTAGAATGTAGATCACCGCCCCTACACCAACACGCAAAACGAAAGCTACCGACCACGCCCAGCACCACCCGCTCCATCAGGCACGACGAGGACCTCAACACAAACCTCAAAACTTGCGCCTCTGGTTAGAGACATACTTTAAAAGCTAGAAAATATTAAAAAATTTATCGTTTGGAATAACCAGAAATTGTTCTTCGTCACAGCGAGCAACATATTTACTCTATCTCGTTCGTTGAGTTCGTTAAAGCTCGAAATTATAACTTTAAATTAATGTTTAACAATGTGAAGATCTAACAATTGGTTCAATACGGCGTCAGTTTTATGTACGTTCTGAAGACATCTTCCAAAATGTTACAGTCTTTTAATTCTTCGTTACGTTATTTAGACATTTTTTCTATATTTTCGGGATTGTGAACTATAAAACGTAAGGATTTCTACACTTAGGTCATAAATCCATTCAAAACGCTTGACCATGATTTGACAATGAATATATGAAACGAAATTATATGCCTATTATACTTCCGTTGCTGTCGATGAATATGCTACGATTTGTTCCGATGTGTGCCAACCACTGAATTGTAAAAACATTAACGTACGACTCTCAAGAGCTTCTAAATAGTCAGAATATCACAGATGAGCGGCGATTCGACTATCAAGCATTAGGTATATGCTGGAGATCGAAAGGCCCACGCATGCAGTCTGCAGTCAAGCCGCAAAAAGCCCCACAGAACGACTAGCCTGAATAAAGCAAGCTCCGGTGCACGTAGCCCATGCAGAAGCCGCCACGAGTCACCTTGCATGTTTGAACGTGCCTCTCAGAATATGCAGGCTGCAGCTAGAACTTCACTTGGCAATATAAGCACAATAAAGCCCGAACTAAGAAAGCCCATTCCTATATACCATTCATTAGTGCCTTCCTCCTAGAAATGAGTATCGATAAAGGAAGAGTTAAATGCCAACTGATCCCAGTCAACAGCATAAGCTGAAAATTTTCCTGCAACACAAGACACCATGCAGTATTTTTTCGAGTGTAAACAAAATTAAAAATTATACTAAACACCGAACACAAAACTACGCTTATAATTCCGACCATACTGAGCCAAGATATAAGGTAACTTGTTCAAAAACTTCGGGACTCAAACCAGAATTCAAAGCAGGCATGCGCGGCAGCGAATGTTCTGTAATTA